GACCAAACTAGAAGGGCCATAGTCAGGGACGTGACCAAGAACCCAATGGTCATGCTGACAGAGGTACAGCATTGCTCTGTGCAGAGCGAAGAACCTTCAGGAAGGACAACAATTTCTGAAGTACTTCACCAATCTGGCCTGTTTGCTAAAGTGTCCATTCCTCAGTAAATGGTAAATGACAGCCTGCCTGGAGTCTGACAAAAGGCACCTGAAGGGCTCTGCTCTGATGAAACAAAGATTGAACTCTTTGGTCTGAATGCCAACCAAGTCTCATGTCTGGAGGAAACTAGGCACTGCTCATCATCTTTCCAATAGTATTCCTACAATGAAGCATGGTGGTAGCAGCATCATGCTGTGGGGATATTTTTTGGCAGCAGGAAGTGGGAGACTAGTCAGGATTGAGGGAAAGGGGAATGCAGCATTGTAGAGACATCCTTGATGATAACCTGCTCTAGAATCCTTTGGACCTTAGACTGTGGTGAAGGTGGATGTTCTTGGGTGACATGTACAGTATCCAGTTCACAAGTGATTGAATATCTTTGAAGAGATCTGATGGCTGTGCACTGATGGTCCCAATCCAACCTGATGTACCTTGAAAGGTTCTGCAAACAAGAATGGGAGAAATTGCCCAAAAATAGTTGCACCAAATTATAGCACTATACTCAAAAAGACTTAAGGCTGTAATTGCTGCCAAGTGCACTTCTATATTGTACTGAACAAAGGCTCTGAGTATTTATATATATGTTATATTTTGTTTGTTTTATTTTTAATACATTTCCAAGAATTTCAAGCAAATGTTTTCACTTTATGGGGTATTGTGTGCAGAATTTTGAGGTGAAAAATTCATTTAATACATTTTAAAATAAGACTGTAACGTGACAAAGTGTGGAACAAGTGCAGTGCTGTGAATATCTTGTTGGTGCAAAAATACTATTTTGGCTTCTTTGGCATTTTAATAGATGCAATTAAAGAAAGTGGAAGAAAGAATGTGTTTTATGACATGCTCCTAGTAACAAAGTGCCTAAAGGTATAATTTAGTCTATGTTAATTGGTTCTTTGCTAAGTTGTTTGTCATGTGTAGACACAACGTTGGTTCATCCCTTGAATTAAGTGCTTTTTTCTGTTTGACTGATTCATGGGTCAGTGTTAAGTGGCTTAACAAATAAAACATTCCTATTAAAATGGGCAGGTAAAAGGACGAGCTAAAAATGGGTGTAAAAGTAGGCAATATGTAAAGAAAAACTTTAAAAGATACATGCAACAGTCATTATTCTCTGCTGGGTCATAATTAATAAGACCACAAATGTCGCCTTAAAAAAATTATTTCTTTCCAAACGTCATTAAAACTAAAGTGTATTTACTTAATTAAGAAGTAAGGGCTTGTATAACAAGATAATTAGTCTTAATTTAGACTTTAAAATCTGTTATCAAAGAATGGCACAAAGGTAAAATATTATCTTTTAATTTGGGCAAAAAAATCTTGCTGTTTTATCCCTTTGTACAAGCAGAAAAGGCTTCTTATCTTTGGCATCACTAAAAGCACTTTGAGGATTTGTTTGAGTAGTTACTATCTGAATGTTTTGCATATACTACTTTTGCATTCATATCCAGGGTGCACCTAGGTAAATATCACTTTCTGTGTTTGCATATGCTTCAAATACACAATCTGAAGTGTTTTAAATACATCTAATATTTATTTCGTTTTCAAAAGTCACTCTGGCATTATAAATCTGTAAATATTGGAAAAAACCTACTGAACTTGCATAATTTACTTTTAATTCAAATCATTTTACCCACTGTTGTTTAACAAGTCCAGTCCTGGGAAATTGTGGCATTTAGGTTTGGCAAGCCTTCTGCATGAGTAAGTTGCCCTTCTCTAAACATAATGAAGAACTTGAGAAAAGGATGGGCAGTTTGTTCACTAGAAAATATGTGGGGTTGTGTTACATGACAGGTTAAGGCCAAATTTTCTATAATCCTAGGTGTGGAGCGTTACGTCAGCATCTTGATCTTTCTGCACAGAAGAACACTAGATCTCTGTGTCTCTGTTAGTTTAATTTTTTCTTGACTATTAATTCTGATGTCTGCAACATATTTTCTCATCTTTCACTCTGTGAACCTCCTAGATTACAATATTTTTTATCAAAACATTGCCTAATATTTATCTGTGATTTGTGCCTCAGACTCCTTTCTTGCCTTTAGAATGTGCTTTTTTTCCAAACATGCTATTATTGTGTCATTACTTTTGTCTTCCTCAGCCCCCATATAATTTTCCTGTCCCAGAGTGTGTTGTCTGCTGGGAGTCCAGGTTCTGAAGAAAGTCTGTCTCTGTGTGGATCCAGGATTTGCCACGAGATTTCCCACTCCTGGTTTGGCCTGGTTATCGGAGCCAGAGACTGGACTGAAGAATGGATTAGCGAAGGCTTTGCCACCTGTCTTGAAGACATTATCTGGGCCCAAGCACAACAAGTATAAGATAATGTGTTTTCCATATTAACCACTATATGATAGTAACATACAATCACCGGCCACCACATTAGCTACACCTGTACAGCTGCTGGTTAATGCAAATATTAAAGCATATAAACATGTATGTTAAGACAACCTGCTGAAGTTCAAACTGAGCAGCACAGTAAGGAAGAAAAGTGATTTAAGTGCCTTTGGATGTGGCGTGGTTGTTGGCAGCAGAGGGGTTGGTCTGAGTATTTTAGAAACTGCTGAGGAACTCTACTGGGAATTTCCCACAAAACCATTCCTAGGGCTTACAGAGAATGGTTCAAAAAACAGAAAATAACCAGTGAGCCAAAGGACAGAGAAGAATGGCCAACAACAACTTAACAACAACTTAAATAATTTAAAAAAACAGGAGCTACAAGGATCACAGCAGCAGACGTCAATGCTAGGTGACATTCCTGTCAGCTACGAGTAAGATACTAAAATTCACAAAGAAATCATCAAAGTTAGACAATAGAAGGTTGGAAAAAACATTGCTTGTCTGATGATTCTTAATTTTGCTGCAAAAATTCAGAAAATAGGGTGAAACTTTGGTGCAAACAACATGAGCGCAAAGATCTTTTCTTGTATCTGTGGTTCAGGCTGCTGGTCCTGGCGTGGTCAATATTTCCTTTGCACTTTTTGGACCCCTTAGTATCACCCGAGCTGACCATATCATACCTGTCCATGCCTGCTATTCTGTCAATATGAACCCAAATCTCACATAAATGCTTTCAGCACCTTGTTGAATTTATGCCACGAAGAACCAAAACAACTCTGAAGGCAAAAGGAGGGCCAAGCTGGTACTAGAAAGGTGTACCTAATGAAGTGGCCAGTGAGAATAAAGGCAAGCGGGTGCCTCTGAGAAGATAATCTTCTCTCATTAGAAATGATTTATATGTAAATATTTTGAGTCATAAAAAAACAAATACTGCTAAAATATCATATAGCAAAATTCATTAAATAAATAAAATGCGGGTCAGTATTCCAACCTTTCGTCTGTTCAAACATCACTGTGACAAAAACATACGTTAAACTTTTTTTTTTTTAAAAAGGCAACTAGAGAATATTGGAATACAAAAAAGCAAAAACAGGAAATAAATTTGAAAAATCACAAACAAACAAAGTTTTCTCAACCAATCACAACATTAATCAATAGACCATATCTCTTTAGGTGTAAAACCACATCAGTCGCATAGTTGATTCGTTAGTAAATTCTTTTCTAAAGATTGTTTTCCAAAGAAATTTTAACGTCACATTTTCCCAAAGGTCCTTCTACAGCCAGATGGTTAATTAAGGATCCCTGCAAAAAATATAAGAGACTAAATGGATAAAAGAAGTGGGTGTAGCATTAATGTTTGCAACACTGACTTCAGCTCTAATCTTGTAGTTGATGGGGCTACAGACCTAATCCTCCCACTTGTATTCCCACACCATCTAGAGTTACACAAGTGCTTTTCTTTTGTCTGTGATGTTAAATCTAAACACCTTTATGATATGAACTTTGCTCTGCTGAAAGGATTTAATCACATCTGCTTCCAAGTGTTGCCAAACTGAATAACAGAGAGTGCTTCTATCGCAGTGTCTTTATGTTTTTGCAGAATTCATCATATTTAGCTCTTTTCATCTGGCAATTTTGCATCGACTTTTGTCCATGTGTGTCTCCCTCCAGCTCTCTTTAGAGGAGAAAACCGAGCAGTTTGACCTGAAGGCACTTCTGAGGTGGAGAAGACTTTCCGATGAGTTGCAAAACTCAAAAGAGGAACTTCAGATCCTCAGGTGTGTGTCTTTATACAGAAACACGTTTTTGGAGGGTAACTAAAGAGCACCATGGCAATAATCAAAGCCCTTACCTGAATTCAATTAATTGTGCATAGCCCACTTCTAACATGATGGGATGCCTTCAGACTTGGAATCTGTGGAATCTTCAAACAAACTGCTGTTTGGTGTCTGGCCATAGTCTAAGACACCAGCTCTTATCACCACTGATGATGTTCAAAATGAAGTTAATGTTCGTTGGCAAAATTAGGTTTTTAATTTGTTTTATTGATTCAGTTACCACCAATTTTTGCATCATGTTATGGTTATGTTGACCCTAAGCAGTTTGCTAAAATAAAAAAAATCCATGTACAATGAGATAAATTTCTTTTGCAATGAACAGATTCTTTACAGTGAATGTTATCTTCCATTTTCAGGCCAGACTGTGCCTAGATTTTTCTTAGTGTCTGCACATGCAGACGCACACATGAACGTAGAGTCTAGGCATTCCAGGGGTACAGGTGTGGCAGGTGTGGCAATAAAGTATATCCAGGTGTGCTGTACCGTCATGTCTTAGAAAAGCTCACATCACGAGGAAGGCAAGTGTGCGCAAACACATAAATTCAGACAGACGGACAGTGTGGGACCCACACCCTGCTTTATTTCATCCAGGGTGGAAGCAGAGTGTCATCGGGGGATTATAGCTGTAAACCCCAACAAGGGCTTAACCCTTTAGCTAATGAAAATGCTGGTGATTTCTCTGTGCGTATTGCAGCTCTCATTAGACATTAAATCAATGGTGGTTACACTTGTGATATTCATGGATATTCACATTCACTTTAACAGTGAAATTCAGCCTGCTTCAAATACTTCATGTGGTGTTAGTGATGTTCTTTATTGGTGAATTTACCTTTGTTTTTAAAACTTTGCTATGATGATTTAAATTGTTCCAGAGCTTTAAGACTGCTGTCTGATAACGTCTTTATTTGTGGTAGGCTTCAACATGGAAGGAGCCATGGCTGTGAATTACAATGTACCTTAAAATAAGAAGCTGGCAGTGCAGGAAAGGGTTAAATATACATTGGAGAGTGGTGTCGGTCAGAGTTTTCCTCCACAAGACAGACACATGGGTTGTTAGAGAGGATCAGGCTTATGTTTCTCGTCACCTGATGGGGTTACATCAACAACATCAAACTTTTTACAGTATGCGCACACACACATGCACACATGCTTGCAAGCCTGGCTGCATGTTTTGACTGACTGCTACATGGAAATATGGTGTGTTGCATTTGTAGTGAAAAACACGTTATTGTCAAAGTGGCAAATAACTCCAAAAGGATTGCCAAAGCAAGTTGGGGCATAAATGAACCCTGCTCACAGGCTTAATGATCTTAATGATTGAACACATTTAGTCTGTGTATATGTACTTCTATAATGTGGCTGTTACTCTGCAAATGTGCTCCTGTTTGTGTTCCTTTACTTCTGTCAGCATGTACATTTTAGCAAAGCTAATTATTGTTTGTTTACTTTCAGCAGAGGCCCGTTGTAATTATAGTGCATCTACGCATTTCATTATAACATTTTATTTTCTGAGTCCTTCCTATATAAAAACTCTTTATCAGCTTCCAGGGAAGAGCTAAGACATTTGCTGCCAGTTATGAGGTAAATGCAGTCATTGTTCATGTAGTTTGAGTTGACTGATTTGTAATGTTGAGTGCCTTTTAGTGCCCAGCAAGTCAGATAAAGCTGTGGACATTTGACGTGACACCATAGTGAAGAATGGAATTCGGCATACAGTATGCGTCGATGGAAAAAGAACGTTTTACGATAGTAAATGACTAATGACTCAGTTATTACAGTTGACTTGGAGCAGCTCTTCTAGTTTCACCTATAATTACTACTAAATTACAGTTATTTTTCCAGGGGAAATTTCCCATATAAAAATGAATTATAACAGTTTTCTTAAACAAACAAAGTTATTGAGTTTTTTGTTTTCCATATGAAAACTGCTGTCTGATGAAGTGCACAGCAGTCGAGATTAACCTTGATCTTTATTCTTGATCCTGTGGGTAATACAGGTGATGCAGAACCTCAACTGTGGGGGTTTTTGAGGCCTTGACCACACTGCAGTCTTCATCAGTTTTCTCAGTGGACATTAAAATGACTCTGAACTCATCATCATTATTAGGGGGCAATCATGGCTCAAAGAGTTGGCAGTTCATCTTGTAACTGGAAGGTTGCCGGTTCCAGCCCCGGCTCGGACAGTCTCGGTTGTTGTGTCCTTGGGCAAGACACTTCACCGTTGCCTGCTGGTGGCGGTCAGAGGGCCCAGTGGCGCCAGTGTCAGTGCGCCCCAGGGTGGCTGTGGCTACAATGTAGCTTGCCATCACCAGTGTGTGAATGTGTGTGTGAATGGGTGGATGACTGGATATGTAAAGCGCTTTGGGGTCCTTAGGGACTAGTAAAGCGCTATACAAATACAGGCCATTTACCATTTGTAGAGTATGAATTGAATAACAATTCCTGAAAACTTGAAAACTGATAACTAACTCAAGGATGCTGCTGCATGTCCCCTTAAAGGTCCCATGTGACACAGATTTTTGTTTTCTTTAAACTGGCTCCCTGGGAAGTTTAAGGGTTCAGTTTGAAATTTTGGTCATCACGGTTTGATGCCTCCACATATCAGTGAGCTGCTACAACCACACATAACACCAAGATCTATTAGGTGTATTGGTTGTACCAAGATCCAAGTTAAAGATAAAAGGTGATTGTGCTTTTGAGGTTGTGGAACCTCATGAAGATCTGTGGACACTAATGATACCTTTAAAAAGTAACTTAGGAACCACCTCTGTCTCTGTCAGCTTGCCTTTATTGGTTTTTTTTTTAATCTATTTTTTACACTTTTAGTTATTGTATCTTGTAGGGCCCTCAAAGTCCTGACACAGATCACTTTTTCATGTGGAATACACAACCTTTGTGCCCAAGTCCACATGTAACTTCATTTGCATTAGAACCACATGCACATAAACACTAACTCAGTGTCACAACACAGTGAAGACTCTCTAAGGATCTGCTGATGGGAAGGAAAGGAAACCACAGTGGGATATATACAAAGAGATGTCCTCACCATACACAAATGCACACACAAAGGCTAAATGGTAGGTTGTTCTTTCCAAGTTCAGTAGGTCACAATTGACACCCCATGATCCAGCAGGGGCCCCAGTGGCCAGTGTTTATCAGTCCATTTCAGATGAGTTATATTTAGGGCAGCCTGGGCCAGACGCCATTCTCCCTGCTGATTTACTGGGCTGCTGGGAGCGCTGCTCTACCTTATCCGGTTTCCACAGTCAACCCAGTGTAATTTGTCAGGATATGGCTCACGGAGCTATAAACCTCTCGTGTGTGTATGTGTGTTCTCGTTTGACATTAAGTTCTGTCAGTAATAGCTCCTGATTTCCTCTCGCTTTTTCTCTCCCTTTCAATCTCAGACACACCCAGGTGTATGCACGGCTACGCATGCACACACACACAGACAAACACCCCCCCTCTCACTGCCCTACAAGTCAGATAAGAACGCCATTTATTCTGAAATACATTTAGCTATTACGAGACGCTGAAGGCAGCAAGCACCGTTTCCTCCTAAAGTTTTAGTTAATCATCCCTGACAAAGACAGGCAGCAAAACCCAGGGATTCACACATCAATAAATCCCTTATAAAGAAGGCTGAAGTCCCTTTGTTTAACATGACAGTGATGAATCAACATTTTGTCTCTCCGTGGTCTGCTGCTAGTGTCTCTGACATAAGAAATGGTTACATTTTCCGTGGAAAGACAGTACATGTTCTGTCACTGTTTTCATCTTTTGTCCTAATCCTTCTTTTTCCTCTCAGACCCACACATACACACAAGTTCCCAGGGGTACAGCACATCCCGCTGTCTTAAAAAGAGTCCATTTCATCTTATCGCAAGGAACAGACAGCCACAGGCTGAAATGAGCAGGTGACTGGACAGAGAGCAAGTTTTTAAAAAAATCCAGTGTTTAAAGGAAAATGTTGATATAAAGGAACCACATATAAAACAAACACTATATTGCATATTTTAAGTTTTAACTTGTAGCCCGTCTGTTATATCCAAATGTGTTATTCATTATATACAGTCACTGACAGACTGAGAATAATGAAAGTCTTTATTTCTGGAGAGTCAACATCATTAATTTGATTTTCTGAGGCAGATTTTCCGAAATCAGGTCATTTCCATAGCGATTTCTCTCGCACAGCATTTATATGACATGCATACATCCACACAAGTGGGAACACGCCCTCAGATGCATGATGAAAGTGCTTGAAAGAATGACCAGTCGAATTTAGAAATTCCAGGAAGCTGATGACTTCCTCTCTTTCAGTACACTAAGCAAACCAAACATTCCTGTCTATCTTCTGCCCTTGATTTCTCCCACACCTCCTCCTTGTCTTGTCCTCAGCCCTAGTCTGCTTTACCCCCCTCTCTTCTGCATCCTGCCTTCCCTCTTCTGCTCACCATGGCTGGACAAACACTTGTGTAAATCAAATATTTGACCAACTTGTGGCTCCCTGCTTAAGCTCAAGTCAAAAAATTAAACAGTCACATGTGACTCTCTGTGCCTTTAGCCTTTCCGATCGTCCATGTACGTCTGCGTGTGTGTGTCTGGCCCTGTCATGAAGCGGTCTTGTGGAAAAGTGCAAGCCAGTGATGAAGGGTGTATTGATTGGTGGGCCAGGCGCCTGCCGTATCGACTTGGCAGGAGGGTGATCCTTCAAGGCCTTCCTATTGGCACACTGAGTTAATCTGCTCATTCTGATCAATACCAGCTAACTAAAACTATCATTGCACAGCATCCCATGTCAGGGATTTGTTTGTCTGGTTTTTTATTGGTTTTATGCGTGTTTGTTTGTGTGTTTTATGGAGGTTGAGGGGATGATTTGTATCTTCGTGACGGGGAAAATGAAACCCAGAGCGTGGCTCTTTTGTGCTGGTAGTCAGGGGTGCTTTTTTTGTGCGCAAGTGTTATATGTTCGCTCCATGACTCACGGGCAGTAAAAGTTAGAGCACAGCACTGTGAGGTCATATAAACACTATAGTATGCTATTATAAATCCACAGTTTTATTTCCAGCCTGCCTCTGGCAAAGTGTGGCAACTTGGCAATGTGTTCACCATTGAGAAATGGCCTGAGCGGTGCCATTTAGTGTTGCTGACAGTGTACTCTTGCTCTGTTGAAATGGTGGTTTTCCTGCAACTAAAATGTCTTGAGAGCAGGATAAAATAAAAATGTGCTCCTGTTCTCCAACATCTCACTCCTGTTTTGCCTTCTGGTCTTGTCATGTACCTGTGCACAGTACTGCTGATGGTGTGTGCTGAAAATCTCGCTTTGTGTGCTGTACGTCCATCTCTTCACTTGTTCAGTGTTTCTGTGAGCAATTTTTTCTTCCCTGCTCTGTTTGCCCTCCTGCAGACCTAACATGGAGAAGACTGGTCAGGTCAGTGAATCTGGCTCCTCCACAGTTAAGCATGCCCTCAACCCTGAAAAACCCTTCATGCAAGTCCACTACCTCAAGGTGAGACTAATGTCGTAGTAGGAAGGTGGGAAATTAACAAAGAAAGGAGGGAATTAATGAAGACAAATAAAAGAACCAGATCCAATCAAAGTATTGAATAAACTTATAGTATCTCTTTGTTTTTTTTAAATTTCTGTGAGCTTTCCTGTTTGGTGCTTTAGACGTTTGTCTATAATTGATTGTTTGCATGTCTCACCCTTTGTCCAGGGCTACTTTCTCCTCAAGTTCTTGGCCAGTCAAGTGGGAGAGCAACAGTTTATTGAATTCTTCCAATTATTTGTGAAGAAATACCACGGCCATCTAATTTTGTCCCAGGTGAGGCTGGAAACATATCTCTGCTGCTACTTCAGAGGCTGCTGATAACATTTTAGCTCACGTGTGAACTATTTAATTCGACCCGTCTCTCCAGCACATTTGCTGCTTTTATAAATTATTGGGAGGCTGATGTAAACCTGATTGCCACATTGTTACAATAGCTTTCTCTCAAATTGATGATTGTACATCAACAGAGGCACATGTGTTTATTCTGGTGGGGCCACAAAGCTGAGTGATCCCACCTGGAACTGTGTGTGTGTGTGTGTGTGTGTTTGTGTGTGTGTGTGTGCATATGAGTTCCACCTGGCTCCTGTTACTTCAGTCGCAGATTGAGTCCTCCCACTAAATAGAGGAAGTAACATAAACACTGTTTGACCTTGTACTCTTGACTTAAGATCAGGTATGCCTTTCTCTTTTCTTTTTGTCTTCCTCCCACATCTACCTAAACGACTCCATTTCTGCTTGTCTTTTTTTTTTGTTCTGTTTTAAACAGGATTTCCTGCAAATGTTACTGATTAGCTTTCCCGGCATGGAAAGGTATGTTGTTTGCTATGAGAAATCTCTGCAGTGTAATTCATGAATAATGTAAAGATGCATTAAAACCAATTTGGTTTGTACTATAGCAGGAGTAGTCTTAGTTTCTAGTTGCAGACAAATATGAGATGCGGTTAAAGATTATTATTTTTTGTTTGTTTCAATGTAGCTTTTAAACTTTCAGTGGCAGATGTGATATGTTAATCGATTTCATGTGAAATGCGTTTGGTCTCACTGTGGAAATATGGCAAACTGAAGCATCCAACACCAGTTCTGTTAGGTGAACAGTCTCATTCACTCTCATATTCACTGAAGTGTAAAAGGATAACTGCTCCTCCTGCTCTCCTCCTCTCTAATTCTCTCTCACTCTCTCTGCACTCTCTTAATCATTCAACTTTCTTTTTCTGCCGATTGCCTCATTAACCTCTTCATGTGTCTTGTCCTGCTGTCCCACGTTTTCTTCCTTGTCTGTCATTCACATTATCAGCCCTTTCTTTTCTTACTCTTCTTTTCTCGAGCATCTATTTGTCGGCTCTCAGTGTTTTCTTTCTGCCTTCTCTGTCATGTGGAGTGTGCTGCTGCTGGACGAGAAGAGATTGATTGAATTAAACAGAGGGAGTTGGGCAGAGTCAATATTTGGATTTGATGCCTCTTTCAGTAAACAGCTCAGTGAAATAGAAGGGTTTAAGATTAGAATAGACAGTTGCTGCTCTGGGTCATGGCCAGTCTTTTCGTGATGTGAGGTCATGTATCCTTGGAACAGTGGCGTGCAGGGACTTTTACAGAAAGGCAACCAGAGACAATCCCAAACCTCTCACTCCCTGACCCCAAGCACACACAGAAATCAAAAACATACCATGCGCATTGCCTGTATGCTGTATTGAGGAATTTTTCAAGCAATTCCTTTAGGAAACTAAGCAATAAAACACCTCATTGCACATAAAATTGTATTTTTGGACAAATTTTGCGTAAAGTATCAAAATTCAGAATAATTATTATGCAGAAAAATGTTTCCTATCAGTGTTAAATATCTTAAAAATACTGGTGCAGATGTTTAGTTGTTGAGCTCATTTTAAATACTTTATGTTTTGTTTAATATCCAGCATCATATTCTATAAATTATATATTTTGTAGTGGATATCCTTTCCTACATCTTGATAATAAAAAGTGTGTTAACATTTTGACAGATTCAAAAGTAATTGACCTAATTGACTGACAAGCAGTTTCATGGCCAGTACATCCCAGTTTCCTCTACAAATTAAGCAGATAAAAAATCTTTACTTTGTTTAATCAAAGTTTACTTTGCATTTGGATCTGTTCATTAGAACTTTCATGGTGAGGTACAAGCAGTTGTAGATGTAAATGAAGGTCATCATTGAGGTGAAATGCCAAAATAAGTTATTTTGATAGTTAAAGATCACACTGCACTGGCCAGTAGCACCCAAAGCCCTCAAAGACAGTGTAGGAAAGCTAAAGTGAGTGCACATTCTCTCCTTGGTTTAAAAAAAGAAGCCCTTCATAACGTCTATGCAAGTCAAGAACACTCTTGAGTAAGTAGGTATATCATTGTTAAAACCACCGATCCATTTTCTCTTGGAGCTGGAGCCCAGCTGCCATAGGACGAGAGGGAGGGTACATCTTGGACAGGTCACTGATCTGTTGCAGGGCTAACACATAAAGCCACAACCAATTTAGAATCTCTGATTAATCTAAGATGCTGTGGGAGATAATGAGAGCAAACGTGCAAACATCAGAACATGTGAACTCCATATAGAAAGTCCTAGCTGCCTGGTGGAATTGAACCTAGTGTTGTCTTTTGTGTGGCAATGGTGACAATGGAAACCACTTGTTACACTGACGACTAGGCCTTTTTCAGAAAACATCTAAAAGAACAAATTAAACCAATATTAACTTGCACCAAAATGATGGGAAATAAAAAGTATGGAGAAAGTAAGAAAAATAGCTTATGATCCAAAGCGTATCACATCATCTGTCAAACATGTTGGAAGCAATGTTATAGCATAGGCATGTATGGCTGCCAGTGGAACTGAGTCACTAGTGTTTATTGATGGCTGCTGAGAGAAGTAGGAGGATGAATTCTGGAGTGTACAGGGTTATACTTTCTGCTAAGCTTCAACCAAATGCTGCAAAAACTTTACAGGACAAATGGAAAATGCCCCAAAACATTCTCCAAAAACAACACAAGAGTTTATTAAGGCAAAGAATTGGATATTTTTTTATGGACAAGTCAGTTGCCTGGTTTCAACCCAGTAGAGCATGCTTTTCAGCTACTGAAGACAAAAATGAAGGCGAAGAGGCGCACAGACAAGCAGCAACTGACGGTGGCCACAGTAAAGGGCTAGCACAGCATCTCAAGGGAGGAAAAACAGCATTTGGCGACTTCCTGCGAATATTAAAACGGTCCTCACATTCAACATTTTCTAAGTGTATCACATTACTTTACAAAATGCAGTACTTTTGCTAAATCCTTTTAATTAAACTCTGCACTATTTTTTAAAATTTAAAATCCACAGTGGTGGTGTTCTGAGGCAAAATACAAAACATGTCATTGTCCAAAAACATATAGACTTAATTGTGAATTCTTACATGTCACTAAGAGGATGACTAATTAGTGAAACTAAAGTGAAGTTTACATTTTAGCGTCACAGAACGGAACGGGTAGATACATGCCTCATATGCTCTCGTGAGAGATGAAGCTTATTTCTCACTAGACCTATTATTAAGCATCACTTGATGAGTCATGTGGTATATTAAGTGTATTAACCTTTTGTTTGCCACACAAGAGAAGTATGCTGACATAATCCCATGTAATCCGACTTTGTGGGTTCTCACTGTTGGTGTGGCATATGTTTAGTCTCTAGACTCTGTCTATAATTTCAATCATGCCAAGAGTTTAAATGCGCTTGTGATGAAGTCGCTCATCACATTCTTAATCCTTGGTTTTTAAGCAAGTTGATGTTTTTATTTGGAGTATTGCTTCTTCTAATATGCTTTAAAGTGTAGTTTCCCAATACACCACTCTTTTAATTTGCCTAGAAATGCACTAGATGAGCTCGGCTAGTGTGCGGGAGCGAGGAGCTCAGCCTCAACCCCGCAACAAAAAGCCAATTTAGTCACATGAGCAATGTTGAGAATTAGGTTGGTTGCTTGTTTTCAAGTTTGTCTCAAGGCCACAGATTGTTTTTGTGAGCATGTTATCTTTCTATCATTAACTTTGAGTTTAAACCACTGAGAATACATTTTGACTTTTACAAGTTGGAATAAGATTAAGGTGACTGAGCCTGATGAACTGAGTTTAAGATTACCTTAAATGGTCACTACAGGAGGTTAAACCCATTGTGACAATTATAATAGATTTATAAAATAGACCTATTTACATTCTGTGTCTGTTATTTTTCTCAACGTGTCCTTTTAGGGATAAGTTTGGAAAATGTGGGGGAGCCTGAATTGCATGTGTTTAATAAAGAAAAAATACTATCCAGAAATAAAAAATAAAAATGTTTCAGTGAAGGTATTACTGTATACTTATACTGCACTGAAACCTTCAGAGTAGCCAAGAGTGGAATTTTTTCTCTCTAAGCACAGGCGGGTAGGATTGATAGTGGGGTGAAGGGCATGCTATTTAGTTACTCTTCGACTCTTTGTGCACTTTGTGTGTATACTTGATGTATACTTTACTGTTTGCATAAATACACCAGGCTGAATGTGGGATGTTTGTTTGCATTCACATTTGTCTTTGCAAGTCAGCCCAGTCACTGTGTGTGTTCTCTGTATGGTGTTTGACTATTTCCACATGCAAACCATCCAATTTGGCCTCCTTTCAACTACTCAGACATGCATATACATAGACTCTTTTTTTTTTTTTTTTGCATGTCCATATGTATAACTCCAATTCATTGTCTGTGCATGCCTCTTTTCTTGCCCATGTATAGGAAGGTGGGTGTGCCCTTTTTTGTTTAAGGTGTTGGCCTAAATCTCAAGTCTGCCATAACCCTAACAGTATTTTCCCAGAACGATGTTTTTACAGTGCGTCTTGGGCAATAACAGTCATTGCTGTAATAATAGGAATAATACTAACACTTGTGCCATTGTGTTCCAGAAAAGGCCTCACCCTCGGTGCTATTTATGCTGACTGGCTCGATCAGCCGGGAATTCCAAAGGTACGAAAAGTCCTTCAGTATTTTTTTTTTTTTGGCTGAGTTTAAAATAATTAAATACCAGTTTATGAAAAAAACAAGGCAATTCCTCACTTTTAAGCCTGACAGCTCTTTAAGTAGATAAAAACTGTGTTGGAATTTGTTCTTCATTGTAATGTTTAAGATAAATCGGTATTACTTAGGCTTCATTGTACACAATAATGCAGTAATTTAGTCTCACTAATTATTGTAATTGTGCTTACAGGGTTGCAATTCCCAGTGCATTGTTTTTCTTGTAGTCCACTGAAGATTTCATTGTTTTAATGTTTTACAACCATTCTTACTACTCAGTAGTTAATGTTTACTTACTGTGGCAACAACCTGGCATGCATTACCATGAACCGTAGAAAGACTGGTTCAATCCTGGTCACTCACAGGTTTGTGAAGTCCCATTTTGAAGCCCTGACTTTCACATTCTGGCAGCTGCCATCTTGGTTTTCTTTTTAACCCCCAGATGTGTTTAGACAAGGTGACGGAGTTCTGAATTATGAGCAGCAGCCAGCAGCATCCAGGAACCACTTTCCTCCATTGTCTCACGTCTAATGGAAGCTTCTCGTGTCGCATCTGCCACATTGGTTGTGTCGCATCTGGTATGGCATGACGCCACATGAGAAGAACAGCTTTAAAATGGCTACGCAGCAGGGAATATTATTAACTACTATAGTTTAAATTGTGTGCAATAATTCAGAAACCATTTGTTAAAAATGGCTTATATTTAAATTGGTTATAAAAGGTTATGTATATTAAGATTGTGACTGCTTTGCATTAAAGGTAGGTGCCAACCTTGCTCGGCTTCAACTAACAGAAGTTACTGAACTGAGCACCTTGTGCAGTTATTAACACCCTGACCTAGGAATGTGTACTCCACCAAGCAAGGTAGTTATAACCCCCCAAATAGTCATAATGCTAACCTTAGCTTTAACACAGGATTTCACAAACCAGTTTTTAACATCATGGTGGTCACATCCATCTTTAAGTTATATTTAGCCATCGCAAGACTGCTACTGTATCTTGGTGAGGTGAGCAGTCCTGCTTTATCTGCCCCCTCAAAGGGTTACAAATACTAGGATTGCTCAGACAATCAATCCACTCCAACAGCTTCTTCAATTCTGCCATCTCCATGGTTACAGATCTTAATTACCACTGTGCGTGTGTGCAGTTTTTAGTGTCTGTTCCTGTGTCTGGGAGCCTTCACCTTCTGGATGCGATGATGTAACTTGAGTCTTCCAGGGGCCTCTCAGGGTGGAAAGGACAGTGCGGAGGGAGTGCTCCGCTGTTTTTTCACACCCGATTGGGTGAAAGCTGATTGTTTTTGCAGAGGCTTTTTTTGTGTTTGATGTGCCAGTCAGAGCGCTGGCTAATAAGATCAACCCGATCGATTGAAACCTTTCACAAATGCAAGTGCTTGTGCATTATGTACACTGGGCACAAACACATTTTTAAAATCTCACATGCTGCCTCTCTTTCTCCTCTCTGCCTCCTTTGCTCTTGAATGTGCTTGAATTGAAGAAAGGCAGGAAATGATTTGGCCTAATAATAAACAATGACATCCACCAATCCTGTGCTGAACGATGGAGAATGAGAAGGCCAGTGTCGGTTTATTTTAGACCTCAAGAGTTCCCATTGGGATTATGATGTAGCATGGAATATTTTGTTGATTCATTGATTCACCAGAGCTTTTAGCTCCTTCTTCTACTTAAACTACACCTACATGATAGTGTTTATTTTTTGTATTAATTACCAGTTGTCATATACTGATTTCAGTGCTGCTGATTTACCTAGTACATAATTGATGCTTTTTGATCTTCCTGGCAGGTATTAGATTTAGATTTCCTAAACCTAAAAATCTTTAAAAGAGCAAAATGAAACTCTGGGATTTGACAAAGAAAATAGTACCAATACCTAGAGCTCTGTCTTTGTAAAAATTTGCTCTCATACTTGTGCAATACAGCAACACGTATGTGTTTTGTAGCAATAAAACTTATTTAAGACAAATATCCTGAAGGTGTTCACCAAATAAGTTTGATTTTCAGTCTAATTTTTAAAATATATATAAAAATATAAAAGGTATTTTTTCCCTTCCTGGTTTAATTTTAATTTCTTAATGTTAATTTCTTTAATTTGTCTGAATTGTAATATTAGAAAAAAATAACCCGAGTACATATGAAATGGGGTTTTTAAATGATGATTTCATTTATTAAGGGAAAAAAGCTATCCAAACTTACATGAAAAAGTAATCGACCCCTAAACCTAATAACTAGTTGTGCCATCCTTGGCAGCAAAAACTGCAATTAGGTGTTTGTGATAACTGGCAGTGAGTCTTTCACATCACCGTGGATGAATTTCGGCCTACTCTTTTTTGCTGAATTGTTGCAGTTCAGCCACATCGGAGGGTTTTTTGAGTTTTAACAATCTGTTAAAGTTCAAGCTAATGATGCTTAATCGGATTTAAGTTCAGACTTTGACCATATATATGTGTAAATATATTCATTTATTTTTAACCATTCAGAGGTGTGTTTTGAATCATTGTCTAGCTCCATAATGAACTGATGGGCTCGACATTCTCTTTCAGGACTTTTTAGTAGAGAGCAGAATTAATGGATGTTTTAACCCTTTCCAGACTGATACATGTCAATGGCTTTGTTTTTTTTATCCTTGAATTGTGGCATGATGTGTTGCAGCTTGTAGCTAAGTCATTTTTTTTGTATTCAACAGGTCTCACAGTAATCAGGTCTCGGTGTGGGTCGTGAAATTAAACTCAGCTTTCCAAAAGTAGTTAATCCATCCTACAAACATCTTAAACATATGTGTGACAGATATGGGAAAAACTAAGAAATCAGGAATGTGGCAAATATTTTTTCACACAACTGAGCTTCATATTAACAAATCCGGATATAAATACACTTCCTCTAAACATATCCGGATGTGTCCAGATCCGGAGTTTTACAGTTGGAAATACTGGATGTATTCACATTATTTATCAAATGAAAAGACTGCTGTGAAGAACTTTAAGTATATCCGTGCAAAGACATTTCAAGTAAAATATGGTTAAAGCGAAAATACCAAAGCATGAAAGGATCTGAGAAACAAAGACAGAGACGTCACCATTTACGAGTATGAAATGAATGAGAGGCACTTAAGAGGGAAAGAGATGCAACTTGTGAACTTCTACACGCAGTCAAATATCGATTCACTAAAGAGACTAGAGAGACACCACAGAGACGCAGGCGCAAGACGAGAGAGTTGGAGAGAGACAAAGGTCTTGCTATTCAGGGAATGGCAGTGGAGATCTAGGCAGCAAGAGTTATGTGTGGTATCCTGTTACACAATGGCAATTTAGTACTTCAACACTCACTACATTCTACACTACCCACTCTCAAAACCTCCCTCTCTCTCTACCTCTCTGTGTCTCTCCATCCTTGCCTTGTACACACACCTTCATGCTATTTCTGCTTGAGCAGCAGACACTTTTGTATAATACTTGTAGAGAAGTACGCAGGCATCCAGTTATAGTA